TGGTGGAAAAAGGCAATCTGCAGCAAAACCCGCCTTTGATACTAAGCTCCTAGCAAGAAGAAGCTTGCTGCTGACAAGAAGCTCCATGGCTCGTGCTGCTGCTAAGTACAATAAAGTTGCTACCAAACCTGGCTCTAAGGTACAAAACGGTTCCACGAAGGCTAAGGCTGTAGCTTTGTTGAAGGCTAAAAAGACTTAGACCGATATTATCAAGAGCGCTTTCATTACCTGTGTACGTAAGACATTAAAATTGGCCCGCAACCCCAATTACCCAAGGAAATATGTATATACCAACCATAAATTGCATCAAATACATCGATGGTTAAAGAAGGCTTATTTTCACCTGCCTGTGATTATGATCTGGTGGACATCGCGAATAAGATTGGCATCATATATGTAAATTGTCAATTCCAAATATTTTATTATGTTTCTTTTCAGTAGAAATGTAGACGTAAACTAAAAACTGTAAGTACGTTCATAAATACATTAGGTTTTGTGAATTAGTAAGATCTGTAACAATATGTAAATATGAAACAAGAAATACTGCAAAGTACGTTTTATTTAAAATATTGCAGTTTCGCGCTATCAATGGATTTATGAACGTACAGTAAGGATTGAATTTAAAATCTAAAAACAAATTATATGTACATGCATATCTACTAGGAAATAAAAAAAATCAAATAAATATAAAACAATACGAGTATTTTTATTGGTTACTAATATTGATAGTTTCGGTCACCGTAACCGAATTGTATTTTAAAATAAGTAATTATGACAACTACTTAATCAATGACTTCAATCGATAATTCGGTGCTAACAACTTACTTGTGTTCTAAAAACATAATTTTAACAAATGAAATATTCGGTAATTGCAACCAATTTATGTGGTAGTTGTTGTAACCGACCAAATTCGATTGGAAACAAATTCTGTTGTGGCAACGAATCTGTTTTCTCTGTGTAACAAAAATGTTAATTCCTCACCTATCTGAGGATGTTCAATCGTCTCAAAAACACTTTCAGATTCGACTTAACGATGTCTGTGTGTTCACTCTATCCCGACTCCACCGTATACAAATAATATAATATGCTGTTTTTATTCATCTCATTCCCACGAACAAATGTAATTTCTCATCTCTTTATGCTAAAAACACATAGACAACAGCTGGCAACACAGCAACATGTCAAAAACTGCTGTTAGCAGTAAATGTCGCCATGAAATCAGCAAAGTGTATATAATAGGATGATCAATTCAGTTTTTCAACCGGTTTTTTCTGCTTTACCAATGTCGGTTTTTTTAATGTTTATTTTTCGAATATCGAATAACCTGTTTTTTTTTAATTTTTAAAAACCGGTTTCAAATATTTTTATTTGCTTTGTATTCAAAGATTATTAAATTTAATAATACAGCCCAGGTTCAGGCACTAAAGAATATTTTTCTAACGCACCTTAGGTTATAATTTTTTTATTTTCCTAATTAATTAAGAAATTTTATTTGTAAAATTTATTGGAATAACTGTTTGATAAAATTTTATCAAATTAAGATTAGGTTCCAATTACAATAATTAATTTGCAGATAAACTATTATGGAAGTGTTGGAATGCCTATGAAAATTGTTTAACCTGGATTTTAGAATAAGCTAGGATTACACAGTTCCTAATGTTTAACAAAGTGTCATACTTTTCTCCAATTTCTTTACATTGAAGAAATATAAATCAGACGACTAGATCTAAAGTTATAATCTTTTAAACTGTTAAAAATCAGTTCGGGTCATGTTTTATTAATCAAATTTAAGCATAAACGTTGATTTTTCAAATTAAACAAGTAGGAAAGTATAGTCGGGCATGGCCGACCATATAATACCCTACACCATGAGTATATTTTAAAAATTTTAATTTTTCACAAAGAAACTTTTATGTTGAATTTTACCTTAATTCCAAAGTATTTAAGCAATTTATTGATAAAAAACAAATTTTCTAAATGAGGCTTTATATAGGAGTATAGGTCAAAGATGGGCCGATCCTCATTAAATTTGGGAAAAGGATATATTGTTAAATAATAGTTAATTATGTTGAGTTTCATTGCGATACAAATGGTTACAAGTCAATTTTAGACGTTCTAAATTTGAAAAATGTCAACCGGTTTTTTTCAAATGTCAACTGTTCGAACCATGGTAAAAATAAAGAAGGTAGTGTCAATCAAATTTTTTTTTTATCAAATAAGGATTTTTGAAGTTTAGTTTTTTTGTAAGCATTATATAAAGCGTTGCCACATTCTTAAAAATGATTTTGATTTTCGAGAAATTTTTACAAAAATGTGTAATTTAAAATTTACAATTTAAATAATAATGTACTATTACGTTATTTTGGAAGTTATTTTTTCAACTCCTAACTATCGCTTTCTTATATGTAATTAAAACACGTGACTATTTTTATTGGTATATTAAGTAATAATTTTTTTCATTTTTTTATTACTATTCAAATATTTTGTATCATTTAAATGGCGGTTTAAAAACCGAATTCGAAAATATGTTCTCCCAATATAAAACCTTTTAACAATTTTTTGTCCAAATTTACATTAGTTTTGTGCAACAAATTTAGCATATAATTTGGGCTACTTGAAGAAGAATTTTCATTAAATGTTAAAAATATTGAATTTAAACGTTCCAAAAGGCTTAAAAAACTTGTGTTTGGTTTGTATAATCCACCCTCTGACAATAAATTTATATACGAATAATTTTCATCTTTTTCTTCCGATGTTCTAAATCCAAATTCGGTAAGACCCATTTTTTAAATTATATAGCCAGCAAAATTTTCCAAACCAACAAATTCTATATCATTTAATTTATAAATATTTTCCAAAAACTGCTCAGTTTCTTGATCTCCTGTAATCTATAAAAATAATTAGATTTATATGTATGTATAAAGTAGGATCAATTAGTATTTTAAAGTTACCTTGTGGTCATTGGCACAGCATTTCTATCCAATCTTACACGTTTTGCATTAACTGAAATATTACTTTTAAGGAAATGGTCGGAGCATACCATTGGCTCTTTTGGCAAATCTTCTTCGGAAATTTTACATATATCTAGCCATTGTTGTCGTTTGTTGGGTAATGTAGGGACTTTAAAAAAATGTATGCTTAAATTTTTGCAAAAATATTTGGCATTTTCGCAGTTGGGGAAAATGCAACTCATTCTTGGTTATTCTTAAAATAATGTTCACAAATTAGCTTTTTAATATTTGAAAATTAAGATCTTCCCTTTAATTCCAATTTAAAAGTAAACGTTTTTATATTTTTCAATATTTTCCAAATGAATGAAAATTATATATTAAATTTTTTCATAAACTTCAAATATATGGGAAAATTTTAAATTAATATGGTATTACTATTTTTTTGAAAACGTCAAAATCCTTAAGCATGTCAGATATAGAATTTTAAAAAATATAGAGAGAATGACACTACCTTCTTTATTTTTACCATGGTTCAAACTATTCGAAAACCGGTTTTTAAAAAATGTCGAATAATCGATCACCCTAGTATATAATGAAGACAGCGACAACACCTGTATACTGCCTGCTGTTGCATATGTATTTATTTATAGCTTTATTCAACTGCTCACTCGCATTACTAAAAACAAAAAAATACATATTTTCGCATTACAGTGGACGTCCAATAGTACGTACACTCTTTATTACGAATATCCAATAATACGAATGGCAAAATTGTTGCATTGTCTACTCTATAGTACGAATAAAGTCACAATTTTTCTGTTCGATAGTACGAATAACGCATTTTTTATGGGAATTTTGGTTTTATTTACGTATGAATGAAGTTTTTATTATGTTTTTATTTTATTATTTCTGTATCATTCACCTTAAGCTCAGTAATTTTGAAGTTTTTTTTGTATTTATTACAAGTGTTTTGTATTTTTAAAAATCCTATACACACAATTTACTGCATGTATATTTACAAATCAACAATTATTTAGTGTTATTAATTTATTTTATTGGAATTTTGATGACCCAAGAGAAGAAATTAAATTGGATGATAACGCCAATGAGGAAAGTATTTTATTAGTTCCCGACAATAACTCTGCTGAGAACAATATTGAAGCCTCAAAAGCGCTGTTATTGAAAAAGCCGTAAGAATCATTTTACAATGTAATAAACATCGATGTTAAATGATGGATTTTTTAATAAGTAAAATGATATTTATATACATATGTATGTATGTATGAACTGTTAATTTTGAAAGTAGTGTGACTCCACATTCCAAACAATGGGTTTAAGGATAACTATTCTAATTTTTAAGAGAAAATTATAAATTAGAGAATTGTGGTATATTCCATTCAAGTTTCTAATAAATGTTTTATGTAATCTGAACATTTTAATACATTTTAGAACACATATGTAAATTGCAAATTGTCTTTGGCACACATCTTTTTAAAAACATTAAAATTTAATACCTTCTACATATATCTCATTTCAACCATTGGACTCACGATACTTTCAAAATTAACAATTCATATACGTAAATATGTCCCTTTTATGCCTGTTTATGTACAAGAAATTTATTTAAAATAATACACATTTATTATATTTTGTTCCGTTATGTAATTTTTCATGAAAAATAAAACAAAAATAAATAAAATCCAATATTTTATGTGTATTATTTGAATTTAAACATACAAAATGTGTTGTTCAATAATACGAATTTTTCGGTATTACGAAAGGGCCTGACACTATATAATTCGTACTAGTGGACGTCCACTGTACTTCACTAAACGCTCCCTTTCCATTTCTCGATTTTAGTGAAATTTTTTAACAATACGTTAATCTTCCGATAGTCACTTAACAAAAAGTTAAATAAGAAAGAAAATTTTTAATTAATATAAAAAGCTAATGAAAATAAAAAGCTTTATGAAAAGTTTTATTCGTGTATTCATATGTACATATTTTTTAATTCTTCGAATTAAATTTATTTTAATTTAAACTATGAAATAAATTAATCAAAGACATTTATTAAGGGACTAAGATAAAATGTCTACCTTTTATGTGAAACCATAATTGCAATAAAGTTTGATTTGGAAAACAATGGAATCAGTCTTTATTTAGCGTCAAGCAAACACCTTGTAAAACCCAATGGCTCAAGTCCTCCGAAGTCACAAGATCAGCTTCAAATACAAGGCCAACTCCCATGGCATTACGTCTGAGAGATGTCGTGTAAACTGGCGCACGGAATGTATTCTAAAAATTTAAATAATGATTTTATGATGTCAATTAAATATTTAAAAATTAAGTATATAATATACATATTTAGACATACTTGTAGTTTAAGTCTGTGAGACTCTATAGGAACTACAGACAATATTGGTAATTCTTCAACTAGAATTTTAGGATGCGAACGATATAGTTGCATTCGCTCTAAATCCCATCGAGCGCCTTCTATATAAAGACCAGTTATGTAGCAGCCCTAAAAATAATCAGAAACCAGTAGTTTTCTTAATTGAATTTTGTAGTACAAAAGCTGTTAAGAAATTTTAAAATGGACAATTTTGAACATGACCCTCTCCAATTTCGATGAAATTCAGTACATACATAATTTGCACAAATAAAAAAAATAATGTTCTCCAATTCAGTTTAAAGTTTAATATCATATGTATTTTTTCTAAACTAGATATCCGATTTCTTAATCTTGATCTCAAATTAATGACTATGACATGGCGTATAGTTTGATGAAGATCTCAAGAAAATTTACTTTTAGTCAAATAATCCATATTTCTATAAAATTAAAAAAAAACTTTAATTTACTTTTTATGAACAATTTATTTTTAAATTTTTTTTTGTTAATCAAAAAAATATTTTATTAATTTTTAGATTTTGTTTAAAAATAAAGATTTTTTTACTTAAAGTCAATTGCCTTCATATTCCTTCATGGTTCCATTCTGATCTAGCCATGTCCGTCCGTTTGTTGAATGGACTATAACACTATAGCTGGAGATGGGAAAAGGGGTAAATACTAGGGTTGTCAATTATTCGCGTTTAAAATTATTCGACATTTTTTAATTTCAGTAGTCGATTAAATATTAAAAATTATTCGATTATCGAACGAATAACGAATAGAAGTTTTTTATCGAATAATTTAATAAAATATAAATAAAACTGCGAGAAAAATATATACCTGGAAAAAGACACTGTTTTTCTGAAAGGTTATTGAAACTTGCCTTGCCGGGTTTCCATACATTAACACACTTATATGTCAGTAACTTAGTTGAATCTCAGCCGATTTTAAATTTCTCAACGTATATAAAAGTGGAAGCTGAGGCCTCTATAATGATATATACGATTTTTAACTAACCTAGAGAAATATGTGTGTGTGTAGTTATCAGCTAACATATTTTTGATTTTAGTCCTGCACCCTTTTCCAAGTTTGCGCATATTTTTACAAACTATTTTATATAAGAACTGTACTTATTTATCAATGTATTTCAAAACTATGCCTATTCTGTGTAAAACGCAATGTTATCGATAGTTTTCTTAATACAAAGTTGATCGAAATCTGATTTTATTAAAGCAATAAAATCGAACCTAAATCTAAGACTTAAAGAACCGATTTAATTTTGAACCATTTTACTTGCAAATATTTTAAAAACAAATGCAGACAATCACTTTTAAAACTGAAAGCATTATATTTTTAACATGAACATTGTAAAATAAAATTTTTTATAAATTGAAAATAATATACGTTTTCTTTTATTAAAACAGATCTTTAGATTTAGTATTTGTTTTACAAAATATTAACGTAATTTTTTGTTTAATACTAATAAAATATTCGTAAAAAGTAACATTAAAATATTATTCGAATATTCGATTAATCGAATTATTCTTTATTCTATATTGGAAATTTTTTATTCTTTCGAAGAAAAGCTAATTTTTTTCCTCGATTAATTGAATAATTTTTAGGGTATATATTAGGGTGACTCCAAAATTGAAGTTGCTGATGTTCCCACCGAAAATGAAAATTTAGTTCATTCTAAGATACCAATTATCAAAATTGTTGTCCTGGCCTCAACATTTGGTGAGCTGGATCAAAGGATAAAAAGGTCCTTTTTAAGGTTTTTCTGATTTATTCATATTTTTGGCAAATAAACCAAATTTAGTCTTTGAAAGACGATTTCAATGACATAACACAATTTTGTATACGACTCCTAAATTATTACGAATGTTGTAATTTTTCGGAAAATTTTTAGAATTTAAAAATTTTTAATTTTTACATTATTTTGCAATGTTTTGGTAGCTTACGTAGGTTTCGATAAATTCAAATAAAATTCGATCTGGTTTGAATTTTGACAAACGGAAAAAACCGTTTCGGTAAATTTTATTGAGGATTATTATGTATTAATTTCAACGAATTGTATTAAATTCAATTGTGTTAAAATATAAAAAATCTGAAATTTTTCTGAAAAATTTTAAAATTTCGATGATTTTGATATGCTATTGAAGCGTTGTCATTCCGTTTGTAATTTCTGCAATTAGATTTCCGACCCTATAAAGTATAACAAGTATATCCTGGGTCCTTAAAGATTGCGGAGTCGATTAACCCATATCCGTCTGTGTGTCTGTTGAAATAAATTTTCTCAAGACCCCATGTATCTTTGGGGTCCAAATCTTAAATAATCCAATCTTCAATTGTTCACCACATACCACCATAAGTGGTATGTCAAGTGGTTAGTTCGGCACTGTACCGTCGAACTGCTGGGCATTGCTTATTGGAAAAAACCGTATGTGTTGGTTTTAATGATTTGTGTATTTTGTTTTTGTTTCGTTTGGCGTTAATTGTTGTTGTTATACCCTTCACCTTCGTGAGAAGGGTATATATAAGTTTGTCATTCCGTTTGTAATTTCTATAATATAATTTTCCGACCCTATAAAGTATATATATTCTGGATCCTTATAGATAGCAGAGTCTCGATTAAGCCATGTCCGTCTGTCTGTCTGTATGTTTGTTGAAATCAGTTTTTAGAGGATATCGGCGAGATCCGAATCTTCAATAATTCTGTGAGACATGCTTTCGGGAAGATCGCTATTTAAAATCAGCAAAATCGGTCCATAAATACCGGAGATGTGAGCAAAAATCCGAAACAACCTCTGAAAATTTCATAAAAAAGACAATTTTGTTCATGCTTTGATATAAGCAACAACAACAACACTGCTTATTCATTGAGTATTTTGTTTCATATGTTTGTGTTTCATTGCCTTTTGTATACATATTGTTTTTGTTTCTTGGTGCATTCAGTTTCGTATGTTTGGATGTCTGTTGGTTTGACTTCCATGTGTATTTGTTTTTTTGTGTGTTTATTTCGTTTAGCGTTGTTGTTCGTTTTGCTACTGCTATAATAATGATATAAACGGAAAAATGAAATAAATTAAAATTTTATAGAATTGATATTTTTTAAATACACTGTGGTGAAGGGTATATAAGATTCAGCACAATATAGCACTCTTACTTGTTTTTTGTTTTGTTATTGCTAAAGTAATGGTAAAGTCAGAAAATGAAATAAATTGAAATTTTATAAAATAATCTTTTTTAACACACTATGGTGAAGGTTATATAAGATTCGACAAAGGCGAATATGGACTACTTTCTTACTTGTTTTTCGAAATCAATCCAATAATGTTTTCTTATTTAAATTAACATAAAATAATATTGTTTTCAATACAATTTCTGTAAATTTGGAAAACATGTAAAATATTTATGTTTTTCTTTTTGACATTTTCTTTTATAAAAGCTCATTCAGAGCTGGAAGTTGTGGTTTTAGTTATTTTATTGGGTTGTGATTAGTTTTTATCAAAAACTAGTTGAAAGTAGTTTTAAATTTGTATGTAAAAATCAAAGTAATTTTGTTAAAGCTTATTTTGAACCATATTTTAAATATGCTCTTAAAATATTCTTTGTGTTCAAAACAATTAAAAAAATTATGTTCGAAAAAATTTTAAAGCTGATAAAACTAGTTCCCTTTGTCCGAACTGGTTGAAATTTGGCAGTGTTATATGAAGTTCATAACAATACCATGTTGTCTATTAATTTCTAAAATTCAAAGATAAATTTGAACAATTTGTTAATTTCTCGAACTTAAAAATTTTTTTGTTTTCACTCGATATTTAACAGAAAAACAAAAGATAATAATAATTCATTAAAGAAATTTAAAAGATATGTTTATACAATAAAAAGTATTAAAAGGTACCAACTGACATGCCCCAATTTCTTTATATTCTTTGGTTATAGATAAAAAAAACAGATTAATTGATTGACTTTTAAACCTGGAGGTATCATATTTTAAACACAAATATTTTAAAATATCTCAAATTTTTACAAATGAAGCATGGAGCAGAATAAGGGCGTATAAACAAACCATTTGGGAAATTTTACAGGATAGCATAAAAACAGCATACAACTTTAAAAATAAATATTTTTGATAAACTTTTAAAATATATCATTAGATATCATTCATAGTTATCCCGTTGAAAATTTTCAGAAAAAATTTCAAATCACAACTTGCAAAAATTGACACTTGAAATTTTGTTAAAATGGAATAAGGGTATATATTAGGGTGGGTTGAAAAAAAAGTTGAGTCAGTCAACTCCTACGATTAAAGATATGTTAATAACATTTCCAAAATTATAAAAAATACTTTTTTGCCACGCCTAGAAATTAGTATGGCTTGACTGTGGCTATTTTCACTTTTTCACGCAATTTTTTAAAACGATGTCATATTCTATGCGCAACTTCTGATATCTCGAATCCTTCCCCAAAATCTAAAATTGTAGCTATACTGGAATAAAGTGCATTTGATTATATGAAATATTAGCTTTTAAAATGCTCACTTTTATATATATAATTAAATGTTCATAATTCTTGTATAATCACAATTTCAGATTTTGGGGAATGATCCGAGATATCAGAAGTCGGGCATAGAACATTACGACTAATTAAAAGCGTTCTTTTGAAGCTAAATATTTTGGCGAAAACTTTGGATTTCTCAATTTATCTCATTAGAAATACATAAATGTAAATAGACCAGATGAACACTATACTGTCGAAAAACGCCCTTATTCGCATCAATGCTTCAAATTATGTGTTACGGAATTTTAACGTAATTTTTATTCAATAATATAATAAAATATTCGCAAAAATAACTTTTTAAATATTATTTGACAAAAATTGTTCGAATTATCCTTTAAATAAAAATTTCTGTCGGACATGACGGACCCACATATGTACATGTTTAAGCCCTTTGTAGATAAATATAAAAAACTGGTACATATTATATAGTGACTAAGTTCAAATCTGCAGAGATGCGGGGTGGGATTTATATTCATATAAAAGTTATTTATGCCATATTTTATGACTCACTTAGGATTTATAAGTGAGTTATGGACGTTTATGTGTTTGTCTGAAATTAAACTTTGTATGGGATCTAGAGGTCCAATCGTTATGAAAATCGATAGTATGGTTTAGGCTTATATTAATTTTAAATCTGCCCATTTTTATGGGACGGTATTATAATTAACAGAATTATGAGCTAAAAAGCAATACTTGTGGGTTCAGTTATAATATGTTGGCTTTTTGTTGAATTTTCTTCAAAAATGCAAAAGTTTTACGGGTCTATGTAACAGCTTTTTCTTTAATTAAATATTATACAAGAAAGCGTTTAATATCCGTCTTTGCCTAATCTTATATATCATTCACCATAGTGAGTTTGAAAAAAGCTGCCCCGAAGTTTTGCTCATAAGTTTATCCATTATTTACGAACACATATTGCTGATTTTAAATAGGAAACTTCTCGAAAGCATGTAAGTATTATATAATTATTGAAGATGTTGATCCCAGAAATATCTGGGGTCTTCAGAAAATGTATTTCAACAGACAGATAGAGAGACAGACGGACATGGCTTAATGGACTCCGCATCTATAAGGATCCAGAATATACCTTATAGGGTCTGAAAATTATAATGTGGGAATTATAAAAGGAATGACAAATATATATGTATGTATATTAGTGCTGATCCAAAAACTTTCAATAAAGGTATGATATCACAATTTCAAAAATATCGAGTGATGCCTAATAATAAAATTGTTAAAAACGTACATACATACGTATGTATATAAGATAATAGGTTCTACCATATTAATACATAAATATGATAATTACCGTAGTTGGTCTTTCTTCAATATCGTCAGGATCGACAAATTTTGTAACGCAGGTATACATCTGGGATTTGTCCAATGGCCATCCATTTTTGCGACAGGCAACCTGTAAAATTGCTATTATGTATTATTATTATTCTCATGTTATATTATTTAAATTTATTCATAGAAAAAAGTATTTATTTTATTCATCTTGTTTTATTTTATAAAAATCTTTTGAATGAGTCGTTAAAAGTAAATTTTGTTTTCATCATATTGGGATATATCTCTAATAATTTTAATTAATTTCCTTAATAAATTACGCAGTCCAACAAATTTAAACTTTCCTAAAGGATAGAAAATATCCCTCAAGATATCTTCAGCTTAAGTCAGGTGAGGATTTTTAATCGCTGGTAAGGAACTGAGGACCGTTCCAAAAAAAAAAAAAAAAACAAAACAAAACAAATTATTTTTGTCGTGTTTAGTAAATTAATATCTATCGATTGAGAGGTATTCCTACATGAGATTCCTAAAAAGGCTGTTCATCGGGAAACTCTAACTTACACACATGATTTCTTTAATTAATTTGTGAAATAAACGAGTATACATACTTGAATCAAAGCTGTTAAATAACTTTGTGGAATGTGTAAACCAGAGAGCCACATTACCAACGGTTCGCCCGACATTGACCAATACTTGAATTGAGTTGCACGCCTCTAACCATAATAATGTGAAGGCAGAAGAAAGTAAAAAATAAAAACGAATTGATGAAAATCTAAGATATATAAAGTTATTGTAATATTTCTTTATATAACTCATGTATATACGATTTTTAGGTTATAAAAAGTTATTCCTCTGTATTCTATGAATAATTCACTGAGAAATTATGAAATTGATAATAAGTTTTCTAAAATCCAAAGAAATAAAATAAGTCCGGAACACTTGTCGGACCTACCTGTAAGTGTTCTAGCCAAGCGCCCAACTGTTTACAAGTGTCCGGAGCTAATTTACGCCAGTCAGCGGGTAGCAAACCATTGAATAATGAGTTAGCAATATTATCCAAAATATTATCCATTCCAATCTCGCCAGCAATAGCCTAAAATAAAACAATGGATGGAGGTTATTAATATATAAATTATATTTAATGAGGTTCCTAATGGGTTATTCCAATGGGTTTTTGTTTTGATCGGTTAATAATTAAATAACTTATAATTAACTGATTTATTGATCTGTGAAAAGGGTACCAAATGAAATAACTTCCCATGAAGAATATGAAATAACTCCCAGTTCCTCTAAAAATTATGTTTAAAAATGAAAGTGTAAAATGAAATTGTTGGAATTCTACAAATTTAAGTACCAAAAAATGCGAAATAGGTCCATGGAACAAATCCCAAAAAATAATTCTCTAATGATTAATTCCTATAGAATGCTCAAATCCTTCTGAATGAATTAATTTTGTTTGCATTCAATCTGTTACAAATTGAATTCAAATAAATTTCAATTCATCTTGATTTTTTCATTCCCTCTGAATGATAAAGATTTAGTTTGAATTCAATCTATGTATTACAAATTGAATTAAAACATTTTTCAACCATTCAATTTGAAATAGATTGAATGAAAGTTTAGTTTTATAATTTAAAAACATTCTGTATATTAAAAATTTAATTACAAATTGTTTCTTTCATTCAATTTGTAATAAAAGGAATTAAACAAATAAGAATGATCATACAATTGAATTCGTTGATCTTAGGAATTAATTCAATGGCAATGAAAACCCAATGAATTAGAATTTAAATTGAACGAATGATATGAAAGAATGGTATTCCAAATAGAATTCATTCTTTCCAGGCTATGAACTTAAGTCACTATGCTCATGGGCATCAAGACATTTTTTAACGTGGAATTATGAACTTAAAAGTATCACAATGTTCATTTATGCACATTTTGTAAAAATTGGAACTTATTTCAATCTCGTTGGGAGTTATTTAATTTTGTGGTAATAATTTTTCAAACTTAGCTAGATAATGCATTTTGAATTTCCTTAAGTGCCTTGGACAGCCGCCCTTCGGCCGGGCGCAAGAATTTTAAACTCTGGGGTATCTCGAACATTTTATTAAGGATTTGGGGGTTATTTCACTTGGAAATTTTTCATTGGAAGTTATTTTATAAAAAAAATAATTCGTCATGGTAAATATTTCATATATTTTGGTAATTGTTTCATTAGGAGCTATTTTTTGGGACTTACATTTTTAGAATTCCAAATTTCCCAATTGTTGGGAATTATTTCATTTTATACTTTAGACGTTATTTCATTTTTAAGGCTAATTTTTAGAGGAATTGGAAGTTGTTTCATTTTCTTCATGGGAGTTATTTCATTTAGGAGCTATTTCGCTGTACCTGTTCATAAGCATAATGACCAAAAGGCGTCCCCAAAACAAAAGTGAAATAACTACCTAAAAATTTGTTCATAAAGCAACAACAACGAAATTTGGGGATTTATTTCACTTTTTGGGGCATTATTTCACATTTAAAATGAGGAGTTATTTCATTACGAATAATTCTTCAAAATTCAAAAATGAAATAAAACCCTAAAAATATTTTTGGGGAGTTAATTCATTATATTACTTTTATCAAACGAAATAAAAATATATATGCGTGATAGCCATAGGGTTTCTCCTCTGGGGTACATTGGACACCGGCTTCGCTAAGAAAACACTCTCCGTGTATCAAGAGCTTTCGGCTTTAGGCGGGCTATTTAGGAAATCTTTACTAAGCGAATCCTTGTGGTCGGCCAAAGACCGGCTATTTAGAAAATGTTTATTAAGCGAAGCCGTTGTTGGATATACCATAGAGTAGTAAGTTCTTGAAGGAAATCTTTATTAAGCGATTAAACTGAAATGTATTAAACTTTGAAGCCCAACTCTATTTTTTTAATATTACTAAAACCGACTTGTTCTCCAGATGTCGAATTTTTAAATGGGAACTTATGTCATTTTAAAATTGGGAATTTGTTTCAAATGAAATTAATCTCCAAAAATAGGCCAGCTTTTTTGGAAATCTTAGGAAAGCGAAGCTGGTATTGGACATATTATAAAGTGGTAAATCCTTGCCCCGGCCGTAGGCCGTCTATTTAGAAAATATTTATTAAGCGAAGCCGTTGTTGGACATACCATAGAAAAGAAAATGGCTACGCCAGGCCGTAGACCGGCTATTTAGGAAATCATTATTAAGCGATTAAACTGAAATGTATTAAACATTGGAGCTCCATTCAAATGTATGCGCGACCTATTTTTTATAATATACTTTTTATTTTTTTAATCTCCAGATGGGAACTTATTTCATTTTAAAATTAGGAATTTGTTTCATATGAAATTTGGCATAGGTTAGTTTTATGTACCTATGTACCTCTCATATTACTCCTCATACAGAAAAATAAGTTTATTGTCAAAAGATTTAACAATGATGGCAATAAGTTAAAATTCGTCAAAAATAATTTCATTTAAGAAAATAATCGACCTAACCCGAAAATTAGCTTATGCTTACTATATATGAATAGAGATAGTGAAAATTATAGTAATGCGAATGCTAAATTTCAAGTTGAATTTGAATTTGTTTTAAAATTAAAAAATTAATAAAAGTGAAAAATAAATATTTTAAAATAATTGAATATTTTTCCCTATTGGACCTAATTGGGTTATTAAGAAGTGGGCGTGCCTGTAGGCGAATTTGTCTAATTTTTAGTACATTTCTTCTTTAATATGTAAGAAATCACTATGCCGAAAATCGGTCTTATAGTTTTTGAATAATTAATTTTGGCCACCTTAATTTAAAAATCGCTTAGCGCAGACGATATTTTCGGTAACTTGTATTCCATAACTAATTATGCTAAGAAGCTATACGCCAATTTTCACTTAGCTGTCTAAAATTTCCCAGATTGTTCATTTTCCTGGGATAAGATAAGAGATATTAGTGCAGACATATAGTTAAACTAGTTCAATAAAATTAACAAACACATATACTAAGAGCACAACATTTATATCAGACGTGGAGAAAATGCATTGAGGAATCATTTGCCATCAAAAATTTACTTTGGCCCAAGATTGAGTGCACAAATGATCAAAAATTTAGATTTTGGCTCAAATTTATTCGCTATTTCCGCCACCTATGGACAAATGCTTAAAATCGTTACTGCGACACTTTTAAGTGTTTTTTTTTTCTTCTTTATCACAATGTGAGTCTTTGGCTATTAATACGTATATATTTATGTATGTATAGTATATATATATACACACATATACATACATACATATATGTATACATACATAATATTATGCATATCTATTAAATATGTTCGAATGACATCAATGTTTATTAGTGCGCCAAAGAATTCAAGTCATATTTTATTGCAAGAATTTGTTTGTATAAACACAAGAAAAATGAAAAACTACAGATATTACAATTTCAAACTGCTAAATATTTACAATATTATATTCAAATTTAACTGACAATTTGCCAACATAATAATTCATGTTACTCATACGCCCTAAAAGCAGTCAGGCAAAGTTTCTTTAATTTGCAAAATACGAAGTTTTTTGTTGCTTAGTTAAAAATAACTAAAAATAAATACATTATCTACATCTACATCTATATATATAAAATTCTAACGTTACTGACTGACTGACTGACTGACTGACTGACTGACTGATTCACTGACTGATTCATCATCGCACAGCCTAAACGGTTGAAGCTAAAGAGCTGAAATTTGGACAGGAGGTTGTTCTCCCGCCAAATAGATCCACTAAGACGGGATTTTTGGAAATTCGAATGTTTAGGGGGTAAAAAAGGGTAAAAACGGGTAAATTCGGTAACCTTATATCTCCTAAACTAGAAAAGATACAAAAACAGTTTAAAGCTTATCGCCGTTCATTTAAAAAATAAACGGACAGGTGTCTGGTACTTTTTTAAAATTCGGCCCCTTTAGGGAATAAACGGGTAAAAACTGTATTTTGGTACTTTTTTCGCACCCCATGTATCTTTTAAACCAGTGCACATTCAAAAAATATTTTTGACTTTAGTACTTTTTGGATATTCGGACGTTTAAGGGGTTAAAATTGTACCTATTTTTGGTACTTTTTTCATAAAACATTGTTTTTGGTTTATTAACTTATACATATGAATACATAATAACAGGCTCCCACTACGATGTTGCAACTTTTTGGAATAGAATTTTTATTTCGTTAATGGGGAGGAAAAAAGTACCAAAAGGGGTAAAAACGGGAAATTTGATTTTATTCAACCACAATGATCCAATTTAGATAAAATTTTTAAATTTAGAAACACTAAATATCCTAATGGGGTGTTATTTGGAACCCCGGTATCAAGTGATATTTTTTGGTACTTTTCATTCTCCAACTGGTCCTTTTTGAGTTTTCTATGATATTGAAATAGAAACATAAAATTAATAATAAAGGGACTTTTCGCTACTTTTTCGTTCTACACAGGTACTTCTTTAAATTAAACCTAGAAACATGAAATTAAGCATGTAGAGCTCGGAGTAAATGAGAATCTATAAAATGGGACTTTTTGGTACTTTTTCGTTCTTCAAAAGGTACTTTTTGAATTTTCTATAAAATTTAACCTAGAAACATGAAATTAAGCATGTAGAGCCCTTAGTAAATGAGAATCTATAAAAGGGGACTTTTTGGTACTTTTTCGTCGTTCGACTGATACTTTTTGAGTTTTCTATAAAATTTAACCTAGAAACATGAAATTAAGCATGTAGAGCCCGGAGTAAATGAGAATCTATAAAAGGGGACTTTTTGGAACTTTTTCGTCTTTCGACTGGTACTTTTTGAGTTTTCTATAAAATTTAACCTAGAAACATGAATTTAAGCATGTAGAGCCCAGAGTAAATGAGAATCTATAATAGGGGACTTTTTGGTACTTTTTCGTCCTTCGACTGGTACTTTTTGAATTTTCTATAAAATTTAACCTAGAAACATGGAATTAAGCATGCGGAGGCCTTAGTTAATGAGAATCTATAAAAGGGGACTTTTTGGTACTTTTTCGTCCTTCGACTGGTACTTTTTGAGTTTT